GTCTTTTCAGCAAGATTGTGTCCTACCTACAAATTAGTTCCTTATCCACTAGTCTTTCATTGTTCTACATTGTTTCTAAATTGTTTCTCTTCCTTTTGTTGCTTTGCAACACCCCTCATTACAAAACTTCCTCTATTCTGATCTCCTGTGCCTCATTTCTCAGCCCTGGCTGTCTGTGCCCTCAGTCTGGACTAGTCCCTACTTTTTTATTATGCATATCCTTCTCTCCATCTCTCTCAGGTTCTTGCTCTGTTTTGGAACACCCTTTTTGTAGCCCCTAACAGATGATTTCAACTTTGTGTTTATTAGTCCATCTCCTTGTCTCAGCCCTGATTTCCCTTTTTCACATATTGTATCCCTTTTGATCCACCGTCCCACATCTCTCATTCCTCAGTATATGACATCCCTTTATCATTGTGTGGGATTTGTCTGGTCCACTTTCTTGATCATTGAGCTGTCCATTTGTCTTACTCCCATCATTGTTCTACCACTTGTTCTGCCAATGTACGGGACACACTTATCATCTTGGTCTCATTATTACCATTTCCCTTTGACTTCATTACATTGTCAGATATTCCTCCTCTTTGATGAGAAGGTTTTTCCATGAACTGTACATATCTTATATCTCTGATTTTTGAGCAGCATTTCCTTCACCTTCTGCCTTTTCTGATGTCACAGAATAATTTCTTCCTTAGCTCTTTTTTACACTCTTTCATTCCTTCTTTATCCACTGCCCCTTCCTACTTTTTGCCTGACTGGATTACTGCTATGGTTCTTCACACTCTCACCCAGATCCTAATCACACCTCAAGGAGATGTTTCTATTCTCCTTGACACATTAATCCTATTCCTATTTGATGTTGATTTCTGTTGTTCACATCTCTATACCCTTGTTTCTTCCCACTTTCTCATTGCTGCACTTCCCTTCTCCGTCCTGGCCAGTCCTTCTTTCCCTCATAATCCGTGACAGGGGAAAGTGGTCATTCCTTTTTTCTCTCTCTCATATTCCTTCCTCCTATTACTTTTTTTCAATGACATTTCTGACCTGGGCAGATGGTCTTGTCCTCTTGTCACACTCATCATCCTTGTGGTTCCGTTCACTGTCCTTTTGTATCTTGGACCCCTCCTCTACTTAGGTCCTTTTGCCTTATCCCGTTACAGATTGAATTAACCAACCCATACATTTTGTACATGCCCTTCTGAAGGTGATAATTGTATGCTATCTCGAGTATCCTCCCTTCAGTTTTTCTCCTCCCATTTATTCGCACCATTCTCTCTCTTTTTTTTTTTACAGGTTTGTATGTGGACTACCTCACACCTCTTCATCACCCAGTATTTATATCTCATGGCTATCTCATCTCCTTTAGAATTTTGATTTTACTCAAGGCCATTCTTCAATCCATCCTCCATCTGTAGGATCCCACTAGGCAGCTCATATTGCCTCTTGGGGTATATTTACCCAAAACATGCATCGAGCCAAGATAACAGAGAGTGCTCATACCATCCACCCTGGCTCACCCAGTACCTACTATGAGATGAGGTGATCTTCAAGATCATTATTGCACTGTCTCCAGTAAAAGACTTTATGGCTAGTGCCTGATGGGCAAATTCTCTCCCCCCCCCCCCTTTTAGACCAACTAAACCCTAAAGTCTTAATGGCTAACTTTGATGTTGTGTCACTTTTCGCCAAAGTTATGATCAAGGAAGCTTTTAATATTGTACTTGATCTCTACCTTGATGACCCCAATCCTTTAATTCACATCCCCAGTACATGTTTTGTTTCCTTCTTAGAACTCACAACAACAAAAACCAACTTCATTTTTAACAACAAAAACTTTCTTTGAACAGACTCAGATTAAAACACAAGCCATACAATCATGTTTTATCCTCCCCTTTACTGGTACAGATTTGTCAATGACACTTTTACTTGTTTCACTTCTACCAAACACATAAATTCCATTCACCTTAACATTAAATTCACTATTGAACAGGAAAATAACAAGCAGTTATCTTTTCTTAACCTCAACATTATTAAATCTGACACATGTTCAAAACCAAAATTAACTAAAAAGTTACTCAAACAGGCCTCTTCAATCCCTGGAATTCCATGCATGAATCCATTCAAAAAAAAATATACTAAAAACCTTATAAACACACCTTCAAACTTTGCTCAACTGACTACGTAGATGAAGAAATCAACTTTATAAAGCATTCCTTCAGTCAAACTAACAAATTTCCATCAACTATTGTCAAAAAACAACATTAAACTGCAGTTTACCATTTATCCTTGAAATCAGTTAAAAAATAATCAACACTTGGAGAAAACTTGTCATTAAACATAAAATTCCTGTTGACTTCAAATTCACTCACAAACCTGGTCCTAAACTAAAATCATTACCAAATAAAAATTATAAAGAATCACATGATACCAATGTCATTTATGAAATAATGTGCAATAACTATCCTGAATTCTACTTTGGAGAAACCAGAAAAAGTTGGAAACCAGATTCACTAAACAGAATAAAAAAACCTCCAATGTTTACCACCGTTGCAACTCAAAAAACCACATTATATCTATACAAAACATTCTAATTATAAAAAAGAACCACTCACCAACAAATTCAATTGAAGAAAACAATCATACTGAAAACCAACATCCTGGGGTAACAAGATACTTTTACTAAGCTATTAAGCAATCTCAGGTCATGTGACCTCTATGTTCCATGCTGTATATCTATTTCTGTGTCTATGCAAACTACTAATACCTGATGATGATATAATTTTGTTGAAACATTGTACATTTATAGAAAGTTTCTTCATTACCCATTCAAGTCGTCTCCAAACTTATTTCCTAAAAATTGGGCTCCTCATCATCAACTTTAAATTCATCATATTGTATGTTACATGAAGAACTACACCCTATGTTCATTATACTTGATGCCATCAAAACCTGTTGAGTGGCCGGTTTTGTCTCACAGGGCATGCTTACCTGAAATCTGCATCAAGCAGTGGAGAATGGAAAGCATTGAACTCATCCAGCCTTTCTCACTGCTCACCATTGTGATAAAATTTCTGCAAGCCTGCTTTGACAGTATATTTAAAACTGACATGGCCATTTCTTCTGCAACTTTAAAAAAACAACAACAACAAGAAACAGATAGTACTAGGTGTAGTCCTGTCCTCACACCTGCTTCTTGCTTGCTGTCTTTAGGTGTAGTAACCCATTGTATTGTCTTCTGATGGGGACCCAATTCCAGATCACTGTGCCTGATGACAGTGTTCTCCCCATTCTTCTTGTGGAGCGTGGAAGAACCCATACTTCCCAGTCCCAAGCTGCTAGGGATGTGAGTATGAAGAGCTTCCTCTACAGGTGGTGCCTTTCCTCTGGTAAGATACTGATTTGGCCCCCTTGTCATTTGAGAGGTAGAGCTGAGGTGTTACCTGGAAGCGTGATACAGGACATCCCATCACAATATCTCTCAGTTCCTGGTGAATATGTCCAACTGGATGGGATTAGGATTTGCATTAGGTCACTGGTGAGAGCTCCTCCTCTCTCCACCTGTCCTTACAATATCTATTTCGTTTAAGTATTTCAGCAAGACAGAACAGTCTAACACCCTAGCCACACTACACATTCTCATGTTCCACCTACCTTTGCAACATGTTACCACTTGCACTAAATTTACCTTTACTGTAAATATCTCTGTGATGTACATGTAATATGAAGAAAAACTTTAATATAAGTTTAACATGACAGCAAATGTACAACGTTTCGACAAGGTTTTGTCATCATTTGGTACCT